TACGGGGGAGCAGACGAGAGCAACTGGGGTCAAGCGAAGGAACGGCGTTTGTCCAGTTCTCTCCCGTGCACAAGAAACATAAAGAACTTTGCTTACTCGTGTCTTGTGTCCTGTGTAATTAAATTATCTTGAACATTCCAGCGAATAGGTTTAAGCTACAAACCTATCATTAATGTCAATACAGAGCATGAGGGAAACAAACTCTTCAAACCAAGGAGGCTCATCATGAGAGACAAATTGGTCTTTTATTTAAAACCCCAGTAGCACATATTCAGGCCAGCATGTCTCAGCTTCCTCTGTCCTTAAGTCAGGGAACAGTTGATGTGTGGCTGATTTTATAGTTGCAAAACCAGCCTCACAGCAACTGCCCTGGTGGAGATTTAATAGTCACTATGTGGAACTGTCTTCAAAACGTGAACAAATTAAGGCACGCCGCAATAGGTCAAAATATATAGTAAGACTCAGGCCGCGCTAGCACTCAAGATTTGGTGCCTAAGCAGTTACACTAGGATGAATGTCACAAACTACCGAACACATCTTGTCTTGTGTGTCGCTGATTCCTTGGCATTGTTTGTCTAAATACTGCAACACTTGCTTGTGTGAGCCCGACAAAGCACCCCGTGTGACTTAATGGCTGCAAGTATTGGATCTGCTGGGTCCATGCCTGGCCAGGTTGTACTGTCATGAGCAAAGTGAGGATGGGCCCAAAGGCAGACACAAAACACAGACTTTTCAAAGTCCTTAAACTAATTTATTTGACAGCAAAGAAAGGCAGACAAAATAAATCCGCTCCTTGATCGTTATATGAGCAAGGTTATACTCTCTGTTGTTAACAAGAATCGGAAACCCCCTGGTCTGAACAGTGTGGAAGTCTTTCAAGGATAAGTTTTCATCAGGAGTATCCTGGTGCGTCCATGATTAAGTGAAGCACATCAAGCTACACTCCTTATATTCCCTTTGACTCCATGCTAGAATTGTTAGCTCATCTATCTTGTTTGCTAGTGACAGAACGTTCCCCAATATAATAGACGGGAGACACAGCTTATACCTACTTCTCTCTTTAGGCCGCCACTGTCTCACTGTCTCCCTCTTCTGTCCTCCACCCCTGCATCCACAGTATGTTTTCTCCAGATTTCAGCTTTTTTGTTTTTGAGTCTGGCTGACAAACTGACCCGTATCAGGACGATCAGCTGATTCCTAGAGTAAACAATATGCGCGGTGTCTAGATGCTGTGTTCCGGTCCCATGCCTCAATCAAAGTAACAGTTCCGCAGCAACAAAGCATGGATCCAAACCATACCACATGTAGTGCAATGGTTTTTGCATGCATGGTTGCCAGGACACTAGTGTTTATTGATGACATGACAGAGAACAGAAGCAGCTGAATGAATTCGGAGGTGTTCAGAGACACGCTATCTCATCAAATCCAGCAAAATACAGTCAAATTGATTGACTGTATTTTGGTGTGTCATAATACAGATGACCCAAAGCATACAGCCAAAGCAAGGAGTTTAATAAAGCAAAGAAGTTTAATATTCTTGAATGGCCAAGTCAGTCACTTGATCTTAGCCCAATTGAGCATGCAATTCATTTTTTGAAGACTAAACTTCGGACAGAAAACAAACAGCAACTAAAAGCTGCTGCAGTAAAGGCTTGGCAGAGCACCAAACCTAAGTGATCCCCACCTATTCCAATTGCCTCGCATGCTAAGATAGTACCCTGTATAAACATTATAGATTCCCGTATTAGGAGCTTATCATCTTGCAATTCTTCATCGTTGACAGTTACTAACATATCAGTATAAACTTTCCCAAAGATACTTCTCATATTAACCTCCTAGGACCTGGCGTCCACATATGTGGACATCACATTTTGGGTTATTTAGACCAAAATACAAAATTTTGCTGTACAAGGGCCTGATATCCACTTACAAGGACATTATACTGCTACTGTTCTATGGAAATTGTAAACAGATATCCTCATATGTGGCTCTCATTTTTCTTAGAAACAAAAACTAGATAAAAATAATAATCTGGTAATTCTTTATTTTTACATTCATCGGGTCCCAATAAGCCCAAATATCAAAGTGTGGTGGACCACTAGAGGGCTCCACTCACACCCAGTGTGGAGGAAGTGTGTTGCTGTGTTTTGTGGCGCGATGTGTTCAGTTGATGTTGGAGAGGAATAAAGAAGGAGTGAGAACTGAGAGCTTTGTGTCGTCCATGCTTATCTCCACATTGGTGACCCCTGACTCGAGCATGCTACGGGCCGAAGATAACACAGACTCCGCTATGAATGCATCAGCAGCCGCCAGTCCTCCACCTCCTGTTGCAGCTATGTTTGCTGTGGTGCTGAAACTGCCGGACTTTTGGCTCCATGATCCCCCGTCATGGTTTGTGCACGTGGAGGCTCAGTTCGCCCTTCGCGGCATCTCGGCTGACGACACGAAGTATCACCATGTGGTGGCCTCGCTCGACCCGCTGGCCACCCATCGTGCAATGACTCTCCTCCGCCCTTTAAGAGCTGCTTCTTCGGCGCTATGCCCTCTCCGACGCCGAACGAGCCGAAAAGCTCCTCAAACTGTCAGGCTTGGGTGGCGGTACTGCTCTCGAGCTGATGGAGAACATGCTGTCGTTGCTCATGCCGGATGACGGGGGATTCCTCTTCGCCCCCCTCTTCCTCCGCCAACTACCAGCTGCCGTGAGAGCTGTCCTCGCCAACTCCCCGCTTCTGCCTGCGCAGGATTATCGCTCCCTGGCTGAAAAAGCGGATCGCATTCTCCTGGCTAGCCGCACTTTCAACGTTCACGTCCTGGCTATGGACCCGCCGGTGGCACCTTCCACGCCTCCACCTGCCTCCCCCTGCCTCCCCCGCAGCATCCGCCCCTTTGCTGATGGCAGGGATTGCTACACGCCAGCACAGCGGAAAGAGCATCTGTTTCTACCATCAGCATTTTGGCGCCAGAGCACATCGCTGCCTGCCGCCTTGCTGTCACAGTCTGGCAGAAGCAGACTATAGGGACTGGAGAGGTTGGACCCAAGTGCGTACACGCAAAATAACAAGACTTAATATTAACTGAAAACTAAAGCAAAGACAAAACTAAATCATAACCTAAACTGGGTGAGCTAAACATAACAAAACCCTGGAACATGAACATATACATAGACATAGAGACCTGGCATGGAGACAAGGTAGGATAGCAGACGCTCGGACCAGGCATGAATGAACACACACAGACTAAAACCACACAGCAGGTGATCAGGGGAAGTGGAAACACATGGGGAAAAACAGCAGAGACAAATAAACATAATGACATGCAATAGAAGAGTAAAACTAAACACAATGAACACAGGAACACGTGACCTCTTCAAAATAAAACAGGAAACACAATGAGACAGACATGACAACATGAACTTGACAACAAATGACATGCAGACATGAAACAGGGGAGACTTAATACAGGGGTAGAAAACACAAAGGGAAACTAACAAACAAAGAACTATAATGACAACCTAGGCATGATAGAATGAACTTAGAAAACCTAAAGAACTTAAACATAACAAACTAAAACCAAAACGCTGATCGTGACACTTGCGCTTTCACGGTGCACGGTAGCAGCCGCGACCGCTGGCAATACAGAAAGGCTGCTCTTCATAGAGGACTCGCGCTCCAGGAGATGTTTTCTCGTGGACTCCGGCTCCCAGAAGAGCCTCCTTTCCCCCTACCGCTGCCGACAGGCTAGCAGCGAACTGTGGGCCGCAGCTCATTGCAGCTAATGGCTCTCCCATCACAACATTTGGGGAAAGGTTGGTGACTGTTTGTTTTCATGGCCGGGATTTCCAGTGGAACTTTGTTGTTGCCTCTAGCTCTGTACCTATTTTAGGTGCTGGCTTTCTGTGTGCTCATGAACTGCTTGATGATGTTGCTAACAGACGTTTAATTGATGCTCTCTCGTTTTCTTCGCTACCCTGTTTTACTCGGGCCGCCGAGCCCCTGATTCGGGCTAATGTAGTGACCTCCGGGGATGCTTTTCAGCGTTTGCTTTTAGAGTTTCCATCGCTGTCTGTCCCTAATTTCTCTAGCACGGTAACGAACAGAAATAATGCACTTTACTTCTACAACAATGGAATCAAATCAGCCAGACAATCCTACATCTCCCAATTGATCAATAAAATCCAGTCTATTCCATTTTTTTGTCTTCATCCACTGATAAACTGTTTAATGCCTCCAAAAACATACCAACTGAATTTCTTTCAACAAATAGGTGTGATGAATTGGTGTCTTGTGTAATATCTTAGCCTCTCATAGTAATCTATCTAGCACTCCCTCACATAATGATCTAATTACTGCCACAGGCTCAATGCTCACATTCTAACCTGTAAATCCTAAAGAAGCAGTCATTCATCAAGTCTTATACCTCTTTACTCGACCCCATCCCCATCTGTATTTCACTGTTTTAAAAATAATTTCAACAGCTCAACAATTCGCAATTTTAGTTCTGCACAAATGAAAAATTCAATCAGTTGTGTCTCTAAGGTCAGTCCTCGGTCCATTACATTACACAGTATTACTTATCACTTTCCTCTGATGATAAAAAATCCATCCACAAATTAATAAGCTGCACTAATGACATCAACTGCTGAATGTCTCAACACTTCTTAAAAGTAAATAGATACAAGATAGAGACAAGACAAAACTTCTACAGTACTTGTTGTTGATCCAAAATGTCCGAGAAAGAAAATCTGTTCACATCAATAAGGTTACCAGAGCTGCTAAAATGTGCTAGCATTACTATCTTTACAGCCATAGTTTATAAATTGAAAAAGGACATACTGAACCGTCATAATTAACATGGTAAAAGATTTCTTCCTTAAAATGATTCACATTTTTTATGACTTATCACACAGTATCAAGGGAGTACCGGGTATTTTGTCAGTTTAAAGAAAACTGAATACAGAATACACCTTAAATTTGTATATGTTCCATATATACCAGACTTACCTAATCCAAGGCAGGATACTCTGAGCCCTGATTTACCCAGATTTCTGTTAACAAAGAATAAATAATAAGCAGTAGGAATAGATTTATTTAACATAAAAACTGTAACAAAATACATACATGAACACTTTGGAACTCAAGATTCAAGATAGATTCAAGATTCTTTATTTGTCACATGCATAGTTATACAAGTACAACACAGTGAAATGTATCCTGACACACTCCTCGACTGTGCAAAAGGGGAGAGAAGAACATTATATACATTAAGTGAATATATACATGGGGGGCACTATGTGCAGTAAGTGGCATTGAGTGCAGCAAGTGGGTGAATTATGTACATTAAGTAAGTAGCATTTTATGCTGTAAGTATTGTGCACAGTAGTAGCATTGTATGCAGCAAGTAGGTGAATTCTGTACATTAAATGAATTAAATAAAATAGACAATCTGAACTTTTTAAATTAAAAATATGAAATGTACATTGTGCCTGTGGGTGTCTAGAAGAGAGTCTCAGTGCTGTCTCAGTCACTTATGGATGCTGTAAGAGGGTGTGTGTGTGTGTCTGTGTCTGTGTGTGTGTGATAGAAGCTCAAGCTCCTCTTGAGCTTCTATCTCAAGCTTCTAACTTGAGCTTCCTATCTCTTGAACTCTTTTAATTACAGAAAATGTCTGTTAAATTTCCATTATTTTAAAGTGTTATTTTAAAAGCTCCCAAAGAAGCAAGAATACTGAGAATACAGAAAAGGCGGCATCTGTTACCTTAGAACAGGGTATGAAGCTGTCCAGTTGGATACTGTCTGAGCTGTGCCAATATGCTCTCTCACAGTTTCACTCATGTTAAATGAGCAACTTATTCTTTTGAAAGCATGAGAGTGGTGATCACTGACCAAGTGCATGAGAAAAAAAATGTATATTTTATCTATATAAAAAAAGTTTGGTAACATTTCCTATTACAGCTCAGTAATAAAGTGGCAATAATACACACACACACACAATGCACAAGAATGTCATAATCTGGTAGTTTCTAAATTATTACCACTCAATTACCTGGTAGTTTCTGTGTAATAAGTGGGAAACAGAGCTGCAAAATGCAAAACTGCCGGTTTCTATTTAATAACATATTAATATTTATTGAACAAAACCTAAAAAGTGTGCATTATTACCTATAAAAAACCTGTGGTAGTTTCTCTTTAATCAGCATAATTGGAAACAGTAGTGATGGGTCGGTCGCGAACGAAATGGCTCTTAGAGCCGGGTCTTTGACGTGAACGACGCGAGCCGGCTCCTTATCGCGAGCCGTTTTTTTTTTTCCTTTCTCTCACCCTCTCTCTCTCTCTCGCACTTTTTTTCCGCTTCACTCAGCATGCGAGCCTTGTGCTTTACGCTGGGCAGAGGGGGGAGGGGCGGTAGTTACACTCAGTAGCACAGGAACAGAGCAGGAGGGAGAGAGAGAGAAAGAGAGCCAGGGACAACAACGTCACATTAGAAAGGTATAGTAATCATCCACAACTATTTTCAGTTGCAGATGATAAAGGATTCAGAAAGTTTATTCCTGCAGGTCCATATGACAGAGAATATGCATGTTCTTTTTGTTTTCTTTCTCTCTCTTTCCCTCCCGCTCTGTTTCTATGCTACTGCCAGTGTAACTACCGCCCCTCCCCCTCTTCCCAGCACAAAACACAAGGCTCGCGTGCGGAGTGAAGCGGAAAAAAAGTGCGAGAGAGGATGAGAGAAGGAAAAAGAAAAAAACCCATGGCTCGCGATAAGGAGCAAGAAATACACAGCTGGACACTGTGATACTTATTCTTTCATGACATAAGACGGCTGTGTGATATGTGATATGCAAACTACTTTATCTCCGTGGAATGTAATAGCTAAGCTGTATGCCTGGGTAATGCTAGCAAGCTGTTGCAACTGCGCTCGTCTCCATATAAGACGCACCAATCTGCACCAATGGGTTTACAGTTCCTGATAAACTTGTAGTTTTGTGTCCATGACAAATGTTTTGTATAACGTGTCTGTAAAGTGTTCCGAGCCAGCCTAAAGTCATGTGGAAACTTGCTGTTTCAATGTTAGAATCTAACTAGCCTGAAAAATACATATAAAGCAAAAGAGCTACGGCCAACAAAAATGCTGGCAAGGACAAGAAGTGCAGTAATGTTGAAGGTAAAGTTTCCTTTCTATGATAAGACACTACGATGATGATGTGAATTATTTTATTTATCAGTTTTAAGGGGAAAGAGGTGCATTTGTCATTTGTTTCATTCATTTCAAGCTTTTGTTGTTTTATGCCAGTAGTGTGGCTTAATATTGAAATGCACTGGTGGAAAACGAGCTATTTGAGGGAATGAGCAGTTATGGTGAAATTGAGTTACAAAAAGAGTGGAGAACATATGCTTGTGTTGTATGAATAAATTCTGGCAAGACCGACCAGGCAAATGGCAGCATGTCTCCTGTGTTCACTTTCTCTCTTGTTTTACAGGATTGTATTCTGGCTGACGCCCACCATAGCGGGGCCTGTAACACTTGCTAGCATCTGGCACAATGCTATTATGTGCTGGATTGTCTCAGAGGCATCTTTACACAGCCTGCACTTGGGCTCTTGTCTGGTGCTGTAGACCCCATTCCCAATGGATCTTGTGTTGCCATGATTAGCGCCTCTGTGCTGCTGAGGTCAGCTGCCATCTTCCTAGTGGATTCATGGATGTTTGTTGTCTCAGTCTGGACCGTGGTACTGACACTGACTAGTCCTGGTCTCCTTTCTTCCACTTAGCGTACAGTCTCAAGGTGGTGGACTTGGGGTGAAACCCTCCATACATGGTCAGGAGCTTCCTTGTCTTGATGTCAGTGGCTTCCATCTCCTCACCAGCTTATTATCCCAACAGGGTACCTGGTCACAGGCAGGGCGTAGGTGTTGATAGCCCGGATCTCTTTCGTTTCATTCAGCTTACTCCTCAGGACTTGTCTAACTATGTGCCGGTACTCGGTGGCTGCAGCTTTCCTAGCGGCCTCTTAATGGTTCCCGTTTGCCTGTGTGATTCCCAGATACTTGTAACTGTCCTCAGTGTATGCAATGTTGCTTCTAGTAGTTCGATCTCCTCAGTTCTGACTACCTTCCCTCTCTCGTTACCATCTGACTACACTTCTCCAGTCCGAATGACATTCCAATGCCATTGCTGTAGATCTTCATGGTGTGGATCAGTGAATCAATGTCTCATTTACTCTTGGCATACAGCTTGATGTCATCCATGTACAGGAGTTTGCTGACAATTGTTCCATTCCGTATGTCTGTGAATGTTCTCAGTCATCCAAGTCATAGTAGTCTAAGGAGCTTGGAAAGAAAAGCGTCTGGACTTCTTTAAGTTGCTTGAAGACATTTCACCTCTCATCTGAGAAGCTTCTTCAGTTCTAGGGTCAAATGGTGGAGAGTCCCAGGTGAGCTCATTGTGAAACCTAGCCCATGATGCCTTAATGCCCACTCACATCCTGGGCCATCTGACCTCAGGAAATCACATGATAGGGTGCCACTAGGTTTGACAATGAGCTTACCTGAAACCTTGGCTGATTGTGACCTACACCCATTTTCACACCTTGGCTCATGTGATTAGGTAGAGGATCATTAGGGGGTCCATTGTCCCTCTTGGTGGGTTACTCCCACAGAGCTTAAATCTGGGACTCTCCACCATTTGACCTTAGAACTGAAGAAGCTTCTCGGATGAGAGGTGAATCGTCTTCAAGCAACTTAAACAAGTCCAGACACTTTTCTTTCCAAGCTCCTTAGGTCCATTCCGTAGTTGGTATTTGTAGCCTGTTTTGTTAAGGATCTCACTGAGGGGGTTCAGGCCTATGCAGAACAACAGTGGAAACAGAGCATCTCCTTAGTAGATCCCTCGCTTGATGCTATCTTGTGATATTGGGTTGAACTTAGCCTCCAGTGTTCTACACCACATCCCCATCGAGTTCCTGATTAAGGCTCTTAAGGTTCTATTGATCTTGTACAGATTGAGGCATTCCAGGATCCAGGTGTGGGGCATCAAGTCATAGGGCTTCTTGTAGTCTCAGGTGTAGCTGGTGTTTGCTTCACTGGTATTCCTGCAAATTCCTTTCTGTGCTCCGCTCATGTATTTGGCCATGTGCCTGTTAATCTTAGCTGCTATGATGCCTGACAGGAGCTTCCATGTGGTACTGAGGCAGGTTATTGGCCGGTAGTTAGATGGGACTAGTCTTTCTGGGGATCCTTGAGGATCAGGACTGTCCAGCCTTTAGTTAGCCATTCTTGCTGTCTCTCATTGACTAACAGTGGGTTAATTTGTCCTGCCAGATGCTCATGGATTACAGTCAGCTTCTTCAGCCAGTAGGCATGAATCATGTTGGGGCCTGGTGCTGACCAACTCATGCTATGAGACCCTCTCTTGGATATCTGCCACTGTGATGGTTACTGGACCCTGTTCGGGGAGGTTGCTGTTGTCTGCTCTTAGGTCCTCTAGCCACTGAGCATTGCCATTATGGATTGGGTCCTTCTCCCATATGTTGTTCCAGTATTGCTCAGTATCCAGCCTTGGTGGTGCTGTTCTCATGTTGTCAGCTTATTTAATTCATTTCAATTCAATTTTAATTGTACAGCACCAAATCATAACAACAGTTGCCTAAAGGCGCTTTTATGGTAAGGTAGACCCTACAATAATGCATGCAGAGAAAAAAACAACAACAATTAAATGACCCCCTGTCAGCAAGCACATTGGCGAGAGTGGGAAGGAAAAACTCCCTTTTAACAGGAAGAAACCTCCGACAGAACCAGGCTCAGGGAGAGGCAGCCATCTGCCGTGACCGGTTGGGGTGAGAGAAGGAAGACAGGATAAAAGACATGCTGTGGAAGAGAGCCATCCAAGTACACCTTGGATGGTTCTGTGGAGAACAGCTGGTTTATTCTCCTGCCTTCTCTTTTTCAGGCATACCGCTTCAAGCGGCTAGCCAAGTTGTGAGTCTTTGTTTGGCATATAAAACATATACACAAAACACACTTTAGTGAGTGAAAATTTTGGAACATATAATGAAAATTATATAGTAATGATATTAGAAAGGAACTTGTGAAATCCTCTATTATGATGCAGGTACTATATGTTCTCGTATACAAAGTTTTTATTAGAAAAGGTTTATCCCCTAATGGGAAGTGGACAGCATCGGGTCAGAGAGTGTTGAGTGTGCACTTATTTTTTAGACAGTGGATGGTTAACAACTTTAATATACATATATGTGAATACATGTTGCTATATAAACATACAAGGAGTTCCATATGTAAGCGCCTTGAGGCAACTGTTGTTGTGATTTAGCACTATATAAATAAAACTGAATTGAAATGAATTGGTATTTATCTTCTGTTTATATAGACAACATCTGGCGTCTCTATTTTCTTATTTTTCTCAACTTGATTAGGTATATCAATTTACCAACAGCAAGAATAGGCCAAATAATATTGCAACATATGTGTACTTGTATGTAAAGTATACCTGCTCACCAAAACAGTTTACAATAATTGAATAATGTTAAACAACCTTTACAATAATAAGTTTATTGTCTACCTTTATAGTGGTAGTATAAGAAACTAACAGTATCTCTTCTAAATTATCTGTAAGTGTATCTTACCTGTAAATCATGCCAGTGGTGTAAGACACACTGTCCCTAAGTGAAATGTGGTTCATCCTAAGGAAGTCCTCCAAATTTTTGAGCTGAGCAGCTGCACGAACTTCTCTCAGGCGCTGATAATCTGCTACGTGGCGACTGCGCTGTTGCTTTTCTTCCTGCTCCATTGCTTGCTCTGACAACAAACAGGTTAGGCCACTGTGCACACTCTCACTCATTGATGACAGGGAAAGTATCTTGCTAGACACTCCACTTCCACTGCTGATGCTACCACTTCGATAAATTCCATTACTGTCTCGACCTCCAGGTGCCACCCCTCCACTGGTCCCAGGTTTGGGCATCTAGAAGTAAGAGGACAACTTTTTAAAAAATTAAACAAGAGTCCGAAAACCCTGTATTAAGTACATCATCATACATTTAGTAAACTGTAGCACACCCACATGCATATAAGTTTGTAATACAATCACAGCCTTTTTTTCTTGGTATCTACTCAATCTATGCTGCTTTCAATATTCAAGTGCTAAAACTGAATAATTCATGGGTGAGTGGGGATAAAGGTCTGCTGTGTGTTGGATTTGAAAAAAAAAAAAAGCCAGTTTTTCTCAGTCAGTTTCATGCAGTGTTTCAAGTGTTGAAATATGGAGTTCAGAATGTGTGTATTGACTGTTGAGGTCAATAAATTTACATTTCTATTTTATTTATATAGCACCAAATCACAACAAAAGGCATTTCAAGGCACTAATAACTGCCATTTTCGCAGAAAAATTCTCATATTATAAATGACTGGGGAAATTTACTATGTTTTGTAGCCAGACATATTTGTGGTTTCACTGGAATGGCACCACACAAATAGACATTTGTGATCCATCGCTGAACAAAATTTAACCTACTGTAAGCTTGTTTTCTTCCGTTTAGGTGTTAGCACTCTTTTTGCTTTTGCTTTTCTGTATCCAAACCCTGTTTCATTCAGCCCATTTCTTTTAGTTCCATCACAAACACTGTCTACAGTTTTCCCCAATTATATTTCATTTATATTGCTGTGCAGTTTCTACTTTCAATTCGTCTTGCTTTCAATTTTCTGTCCAGTTTCACTCCTTCTTCAAAGTCTCTTCAGGTATCCTGTCACTCCACTCAAGCTGGCTTCAAGCTAAAGCACTGGAGGGTTTTGTGACTGGCCTCCTTGCTGGCCCCCACAGCACTTCATAACCACCACTGGGCTCCCAGTTGCCCCCCTCAACTAGTTATCCTTTTTAATTAAAATTATGTTTCTGAGATTTTGTAAAGTTTTGCATTCTATTTTTATTTATATTTACACAGAACCCCACTCCCCAAATTGGGATTGCAGCTAAGATAATCATGTTGTTTTGTAAATGTGAAACCAAAAAACACAAAGACAAACTGACAACAAACTGTTCGGCATATTCCTTGTGCTGCTGAGACTCCAGAGTGACCACGCCAAAAGAAGACACTATTCAAAAAAGATGTAACTCATAAATGAGGAGTGTTTTATCATGATATATTTCCAAGCTCTAGAAATCAAATTTTACTCAAAGAGAGGGTATCAAGCTTGCAACTGTTAACTTCATGAACCCACACAAAGTAAAATTTAGCTGTACAATACTTGAGTACAACTCAATCCAACCTTTACAATATACATACCATACAAATAAAAGAAACAGTATCATCTTTGCCCTCTCAATTTTTTAAAAACCTCTGACCTACATCAGAAAATCCTCAGTCACTCAATAATTTAAAAGCCTCTCTCCTCATGGTAATGATGATGGAACATGTAGAGGCTATTGTATTTTATTGTAGAGGCTACATAATGCAACATCATGGAGCGTCAGTTTTTTTTCTCCCTCTCATTATCAGTGTATCCAAAACAATACTTACCCGAGATGTTGGTGTTCGGCTGATATAGGGATTCTGGACTACGCTGCTCATGGTAGAGATTGTGATTAGCAGATATAGCAGTATTTTGTAGTCAGCCTAATGCTAGCAGTTTCTGGACTGCTTTAAAAGTAGTTACTGAACAAGTTAATATGGCTTATCTACTCCCTCCTACTTGGTCACGTGGCACACAGAGCCCTATAACCAAGCCTGTCTGCACTGCAGTGGGCAAAAAATAATCTCACAAGTAAATTATTTAATAGCACTGAAACAAGCATCTACACTAAAAGCTTGTGATTGCCTAACAGGAAAACATACTAAGGCCCTGCAATTTTGCTTGTCTCTACAGTAATGTGTCTGTTTTTTTTTATTATTATTATTATTTTCAAACTAACAATAGGTTCAGGTTGCTGTTCACCTTTGTGCACGTTTTTAAAAAACAATTGGTTGCATAGCTATGGGTTTTGTAATTTAATTGTCTGTCAGCTCAGCTCATATTATATTTATAAAAGCATGCGAATGAGAATATTTAAAGAAGGGTAACACAAGTATTAAAATTAGAAACTTAAAAACTTAAAGATTTAGCTGCTATTTAGGAATACAATTATACTTCTACTTCTGAGAATAGAATAGAATAGAATAGAAATATATTCTTTACTTTAGTGTGAATCTAGATGCTCCATCTGCCTGGAACTTTGCTGCCTGAACATGTGAATTTCCCCAATGAGGGACAATAAAGGATAACATAAAGAACAAGAAATAAGACACTGTAAGAATATAAGGAACAACAGTGCGCTGTAGTTGTTCAGTTGTAGTTGCTTGTTAAAACAAATTTTAATATTAGACAAAGTTAACAGAATGTGTGATGGCATGTCTGAGCACTTTTATGTGCTGTGTTTGGATTCAATAACAGAGACGATTTTTCTTCTAAATGTGATAAATGTCTAAATGTCTAAATGACAGACTGCCCGTTGCAGTGGTGGTCCAGTAGAGCAGGGACCCACCCACAGCTATTTGCAAGTATTTGATTAGTCCTGCCACTTCTGTCCCATGTGAGAGACTGTTCTCACTGGCAGGTCACATAGTAACAAAAAAAGAGAGCTGCCTTGAGCTCTGAAAATGTGAACAGGCTAGTTTGTGTAAGTAACTGGCTGAAAGAGACGGACAATAAATAAGCATGGAGGTATTGTGAGTTCAATGGGTTTGTTATTTTTTGCACTAAAATGTTCGATGATCACACTGTTTTAGCTTAATGTACAAAATTATCTTGGCAGGGTACTCAGAGGGTATTCAGAGTTTAAAGGTGAAGATGGTGAAATAACCTTTTATGTTTCTGCCTTATTTTTATAAGACAAAAAAACTAATTGTTAAAATTTTTATTATTACTATTTAAAGACAATACCATTTTGATGTAATGTACTTAAATGTACTTAAAGTACTTAAAACAGCACTTTATTTTTAAATCTGCCCAATTTTGTTTGTTTTGAATTGAAATGCAGTTTACATGTTTTTTTTTCTTCCACAAATTAAAAGAGCTTGAGTTTGCAATACTCATGTCCTGTACTCATCTATTATTTGATTCTGTCACCCACTAAAACCCTTTTAAATTTAAAAAAAAAAAAAATTTGCCCTTTGGGGCAAACTTTCTTGTGCAATTAAATGCGATTAATCAAGATTAATTAATTACAAAGGCTCTAATTAATTAGATTAATTTTTTTAATCGAGTCCCACCCGTAACACACACACACACACACACACACACTACTGGTCAAAGTTTTAGAACACACCAATTTTTCAATTCTTTTTTAAACTGAAAATAATGCTTAATGTTTCATTGAATGCTGAAATGAAAACATAGTACAAATAAGTGATTGGAGTGAAAAAAGAAATCATGGACTCAATTTGTAAACGACTCATTAAAGTAGCCACATTTGGCAGATTTATATCTGCTGGACACACCCGTGGCATCCTTTATACAATACAAAAAAATATTCTCCAGAAAGTTACTCCAACATCTGTAGCAGAAGTTCCCATAAATGTGGACCTTGTAGGTTGCTTTGGTTTCACTTTTCTATCCAGTTCATCCCAAACCAGCTCGATGGGGTTTAAGTCTGGAGACTGTGCTGGACACTCCATGTTTTCAAACTCACCATCTTGTTCTTTTTTCCTGAGGTAGTTCTGGGATAGTTTGGACTTATGTTTTGGGTCATTATCCTGCGTATACCAGAGGGTATTGCACGGTGTTGGAGAATACTGTGGTAGCCATTTTGGTTCAGGGTGCATCTCGCTCTGAACACATCACCGACCCTGGATCCAGCAAAACAGCCCTTCCTTCTCCATGTTTGACAGTCGACGCCTCACACTGTGCAACCATCCTTTCACCTACTCGACAGCATACAAAGATCCTGCGTGATGAACCAAAGATTTCAAATTTTGATTCATCTGTCCATAATACCTTCTTCCAGTCTTCAGTAGTCCAATGGTGGTGTTTCATGGCACAGACAAGCCTCTTTGTCTTATTCTGACGTCTGGATTTCTTGCTGCATCTCGTCCTGTCAAACCTGCAGCTCTTCACAGTTGAAACTGAGACTTTCTTACTACGACCACTATTAAGCTGTGCTTGAAGCTGTTGTACCATGAGACGCCTATCACACAAGCTGCTAACTCTCAGAAACTTGTCCTCTGATTCAGTTGTGTCTTTGGGTTTGCAGACCTCTTCCTGACAAAGTTTGTTTCTGAGTGCCTTTGGATGGTGAAGGAAACTGTATTAACTGACACATTGATTTTCCTCTTATGGGACAATTAAAGGATTATTCTATTCTATTATATTCTATTCTTTGCAATTTCTCTGTAGGAAAGATCTACATTTTTAACTGTTATTATGGTCTGTCTCTCTTCCATTGCTAATTGCCTTTTTCCCACCATTTATTTAGCAACACACTATTTTCTGCTGTACAGTACTGTTCAACTGATGCTCACGAGGGTATGGTACCACAGTGTGTTTCAACACTGCTTTCTTTGCAGAGGGAGGGGGTTGTAAGTAATCAAGAAAAGTAGTAACACCTGTAGGAATTTGTAGCATCAGCTTTCAAGCCTTGATCAACCTCCACTGCTGTAGAATAGTTTAAATTGTTAACCCATTTTGTGTTCCCTGGAAAAGGCCTTTTGGTATAATTCTGAAATGTACATTATTTTTCAGTTTTGGGTAACTTTCTGGTAATGGCGGCATCGTGAGGAGAACCGTGTTTTGCATGCTCAGTTATTTTTTTTGTTAAATACTCTCTGTAAATCCAAAAAAGAACTTACGTTTTGACACAGTTCGCTTGGTGAACATATGAGAATGCTAAGATGCCTAAAAAACTGAACAAGGACAAACAAAAAACTATGACTGAGGCACAAGACGAAAGCGGGGTGGAGGAAGGGCAGATGGACGCCATGTATGAACACGAACAAGAAAAGCAACCCATAAACCCAGAAATGCCTTCTACCTTGGACCTTCTGAATGCTATTCAATTGTTCAAGCAAGAGTTTCATACTGAAATGGGTGGTATTATGGTGGTATTATTGGAGCTGTTCAAGCTGATATACAAAAATGTGGAGGGCGAACTGACGAGGCTGAAAAAAGAATCTCCAATGCGGAGGATGAAATCACCTTACTAAAGAATTATTTGGAATGCCTTGAAAGACAGTCCTTCTGACTAAAAAGGTGGAGGACTTGGAAGGAAGAAGTCGCCGTAATAACATCCGAATCCTCGGCATCCCTGAAAAAGAAGAAGATATAGATGCACGTACTTTCATGGAGTAGTTTTTAGCGGACATTTTGAAAATCCCCCCTCCTGTCCTTGAGAGAGCGCACCGGATAATCACAAGTCAAAGCCCTATTGGAAACCGATCGAGAACTTTTAGAATTAAGTGCTTAAGTTACAGAGACCGTGAACGCATCATGAAAGCCACTAGGACGACAAAAGAACTGACGTACAAGGACAACAAGATAAGCTTCCTGCCGGACCTGCCTGCAGAGACGTATAGACAGCAGCGTCAGTACAATGGTGTGTGGAAGAAGCTGCGAGAGTTCGGACTGTCGAAACATCAGATCATCTATCCAGCGAGGCTGCTTTTGATCAACGAGGAACGTACGCATGAATTCGATACACCAGCGGACGTGGACGCCTACATTAAGAGCCTCAAACAAGTACAAGATGTTTGATAAGGTACATGATGGTAGATTACTAACTCTGTTCTAACTGTATTCATGAACCATACTCGACAGAACAATTAATTTTATTGCTAAAGGGTTGTTATACAATGCTGGGTTAGACATTGTTTGTTTTGTTCTCTTAATAAGAATCACTAGTAATTTCACTTATTGTGTCAAATGTGTCAGAGTAAGTATTTGACAAGGTGGATTTATTTCTATTATTATTATTATTATTGTTGTTGTTGTTGTTTTGTTGTTGTTGTTGTTATTATTATTATTATTATTCTTTTCTTTAGTTAAATTCTTTTATTCAATTGTAGTTACTCTAACAACTGTTGCTGAAACGTGGGTGAATAGTTCCTCAGTTTAGGGTGGACCTGTTCCAAGAAGAGGGCGGAAGTATTTTTGGGGTTAAGGGATGCCTGTATGTTCTTACACAGGCTGGGGTGTGGGAAGGGTTGCTCTTTCAAATCGGTAAATTCTCAACATGGTACAATGCTTTTTGTTTTTGTTTTTTTTGTTTTTTTTAATATATGTATTTATTTACTAGTACAGCTTTAACATAAGTGAATATATATAGCAGAAGTCTTGATTGACTGTGTTTCTTGGAACTGTAGAGGTCTGCGTAAGTTAGTAAAAATAAAACAAGTCATTAGCAGAGATGGGCAGTAATGCGTAATCTGATTACTTTTTTCAAGTAACGAGTAAAGTAAGGGATTACTATTGCAAAAACGGTAATTAGATTACCGTTACTTTCCCGTTGGAATGCTGCACACCTGCATCAGGGTAAACCTC